AAAAAAACAGTTAGCAATGTAAATGAGCAATTCTACCCCTCTATAAACGTGATGGTGACAATCTTGAAAGAAGTGTTTTTATCAAGTTGGTGTATTACTCTTCATGTATATGGTTACTTGCAAAAGCTAGGAGGCAACAGTTCAAACTTCCGAATAGTCGTAAGCACTGAACAAAAAAAATGGAAGTGATAACAACCAAGTCAAACACCTACTTCTAACGTGGCGAGCGATTAATACAAGCACAAATAGTTTTACCTTGCTAGCTGTATCCTTAGTGCGGTACGCGGATGGTATCGTTCCAACTTGCCAATTAGTTCAAAGAGATTTGGAAAGATTAGCGTAATGAAGGATACCGTAATTGAAACGGCGTTCTTAATGTTCATATATAAACGAAAGACTTGTTTGCTGAAGTAGCGGACTGACCTGTTTTATAAATGTGTCAGTTTCCCTTATTTGGCTTACCGCCAATATGGCCCAGACTGAAAATCCAAGCATGATACACACTAACAAATTAGCGAAGACTCTGAGCAGAATTTGTAAGCATTTATACTTTCGCTTCATATTCACCGCGTATTCAGCTATCGCCTCCTGTAAAATAGGTTCAATGCCTCTTTAGTCAAGCAGAATCCTACTCAAAAGAAATTATTCTGAAAAGCACCAAACTTACCCGAAATTTGATAACGTTTGCCATATGAACGTTTCCAGCAGTTTCTGCATTCCCTATCGTAAAATCCCAGCCCGTGAACGCTTTCCAGTTAAACACATACTGCTCAGTTTTACCCGACGACAACTTACTAGTACGTGCATTGGAGGCCATTCTAAATTCTCATTTGAAGTATACATCCTTTCTTCAGCTTCAGCATGTGAAGCAAAGAAAGTATGATTTCATCACTGGAAGAAATTTACAGCACACCCTAATATGTATAGGCATCAGACTTGGCACCTATGGGCAACAGTGTTATATCAGTCTTACCATATCCTTTCAATGAGGTGGTGCGTGAAAGTACGAGTCAGAATACTTGAAAATAAAGCGGATTTCAAAACTAGATTTTTGCTGTGGAGCTTATTCAGAAAGGCTTGATTCGTAGATGTGGCCGTCACGACATTGTCTCTCCATGAAGAAACCGGCAATAGTGGAAACATTTCAAAACTTACGCACAAATTCGAGGTAAGACACAAATGCTATTGTGCCCAAACAACTTTCCGTCGCTTTGAACCTTCAAGCTCACTGTTAAAAGGACAATCCCGAACAATAGTAACTTATTCTCATCAAGTC